GTAGCCAGTAGTACTTGACCTGAACCGGCCGCCCTTACGAACCGCGAGTAACTACATATCGCGCTTCCTTGATCTTTATTTGCCTAGGATTGGCTAGTTTCCTCCCCTTTGTCAGGTTTGTCCTTTCGTTCCTCGTGCAATAAGGTGTTGTGCCTTTTTTCGCATTTCTTGCACGTCTTGCTTGTGCAATCTCTCGCCAAGTGTCCCCCCTTCAAACAATTTAGGCAGAGACCCTTTACTCTAACTTGTTTGAACCGCTCCGGCACGGTCAAACCTTGAAATTGTGGGCATTGATAAATTTGGTGGCCTCCCTTGCAATGGGCACATTTGTTACTAGCCACCGCGGCATGAGAACTTGTGATCTTTGGCGCGTTGCCTGGACGCAAGTTTGTATTGGCTTGGCCGACCTGACTCCTCCCCGCAACCGCCTCCAACGTCTGACATCTTCGCGCTAAAAAGTCTGTCAAACCCTGGAAGGTAGGCACCTGTGCTGGATCGAGGCTATTTTCCCATTCTCTTATGGATATCAAATCTAGTTTGCTAGTGACTATATGTATTAACAAGTCGTCCCCCTGGTTAGTAGGTCGCTTTAGAGCTTGCAACGCCCTTGTATGTTTTAGCACTCCGTCCAACACAGTGCGAATGACCGCGCTGTTCTCCTTTCTTGCAATCGGCAAGTCGAAAATCGCCCGTATATGATTTTGCACCGCGAGTCTATTGTTATCATATCCTTCTTTTAACCTGGACCAAGTATCGGCGTAATTGACACTGGAAATTTCTAACGAAGACACCGTTTCTGCGGCCTCGCCTTTCAACGATGACTTTAAATAATGAAAACGCTGTATGTCATTCAACGACTTGTTGGAATGAATCAATGAGTTGAACGTGTCAAAAAAAGGATGCCAATCATTGTAGGATCCCGAGAAAATCGGCAAATCTATCTTGGGTAATCTGATATGACTTTCGTTCGGTCGTCTCTCATTAGAGTCTACTGCGATTGCTTGGTTCAGGTTCTCGTTTATAGCCGAAGCCGGTTTAAGTTGATTTCTTATTATCTTTTCCCCTTTGGATTTCAAATTAAAATATCTGTCTTCGAGGGCCTCTAATTCCTCGTCTAATTGATCCTCGGCAATGTCTTCCATTACCGCCAATTCTAAGTGAGCAGTCGATATAGACTTCCATAACTCGTCTAACTTATCTAACCTCACCTTTACTTTATCAACGTCAACCTCTTCTTCGCCCAAACTATTGAGAAAAGTTTCTATTCGAGTTAAACCGGCTTTAGCAGTTCTCTTTCTCAGCCTGAGTTTAGTTATTTCTACTTCCGCCATTGTTGACGCTCGTTACACGCGTGCGGATACAAATACAAAAAACCAACAAATAATTTGTACGCTTATGTCTATTTACGCTTAGTCCGATGTGTCGACCTCGTTGACTCTCCTCGCTGCGCTGCGCGGTTGAACACGTCCGCCTCGTCGCCGAGTAGCTTCGTCCGCCTTGTAGCGACGCGCTTGCCCTCGCACGTCCGCCTTGTAGCTGCGTAGATTCGCCCGCTTTGTAGCGACGCGCTTGCCTTGTTGTCACGTGCTTGCCTTTGCACGTTTCGCCTTTACCGGATCTGCCGGCTGCCGTGGACTCGCTCGCCTCGTGGTCGAAGGGACTCGCCCGCCTTGTAGCGACGCGCTTGCCTGTGAGCGCTCGCTTTGTTGTAACGTGCTTGTGTGCA